ATATATATATAAGTTATAGCTCGTCCATCTTGAATCATTACAGTTTGACAAGGGTTCTTATTCATCAATAGATTTATTTTTTTCAACAAACATACCATAACTTTGTTGACAATTTCTTATATCAAATATCGAGTTAATAATTCACTATGCACGTGGTATTTTTTTAACAGTAAAAAGTATTTTCAATCTTTAATGATCAATAGTTAGTTAGAATCAAATTGAAATTACAATACTTTTTTCTTTTTTTTTTTTAATTCCTTCGTCGAAGGCAAAGTCGTGCGAGGATTAATCGATCGATCGATCGATCACAGATTATCGAAGTTCTACGAATAGGTGTGGGTATTCTCAAAGAGACGAATACCTGATTAGAATTCTATCGAATGTGTGTTGTAGTACACATATATTGTAGCGTGTGACGTCACAGTTAGAAGGATCATCATCCTCTTGGAATTCCCTATCGATTAAAATCTTCCATCTACTAGTCACGGTTTGTTATTCCTATCACGTTTCCTTATTTCTAGTTACTAACCAAGAACTCTCTCTTTCTCTCTCTTTTTGTTATATGATTTGGGAATGAGAGGAATGAGAGGAGGGGTGGAAGTAAAAAAATAAAATGTAGGAAAGAATTTGGACAATATTTGTTTTACATATATATAGTTTTTCGAAGAATCTTGCTAGATCTCTCTTTTTGAACTAGACAATAAAGTATCTCACTTTCTCTCTCTTTATATTTCGCGTTGAAATAGTAGTGGTAGTATTAGAAGATAAGAAAACGTTTTCTTCGAGACTAATGGCACACGAGCAATGAGATGTGCGTGTAGAAGCAGCCAAAGGTATTTATAACTTTATATCGATTAACCTTTCCAAGGAGAGGAGGAGGAGGAAGAAGAAGAATAAGAAGAAGAAGAAGAAGAAGAAGAAGAAGAAGAAGGCGTATGCACGTTGCGTTTATGCGTGCTGCGTCGCGTCTACCTACTATGCTCGTTCGCATTCGTCATGGGTCTATGTCGTTGTCGTAGTCGTCGTCGTCGTCGTCGTCGTCGTGGTGGTTGTAAACCATTGTCTCTTACTATTTATTCCTTGTCTCGAATAACATTTTCTTATTCTTATTTTTCTTCGATTAATTTATAATATTATTTTATTTATTTATTTTTTCATTATAAATATATCGTGTCATTAACGTAATCAATTTGTCAATTATTATTCGAATCAAATATTTTCACATTGGTGTATTTCATTTTGAAATCAAGTTAAGATAGTCACGAAAGTGTCGAGTAAAATATAGTAGTCAACTATTACTATATACATACACTATTATATGTGGAATAGAGGACGGTTCCGGTATCGTAGGTACCCTCGTTCCTCTATTGTCCTATTGCATTCTTAATATTTATTTGTCGCCTTACCTTACAAGCAACAACGTATTCTTACTTCTCCAATAGCATTTGATTTTCAAGAAGTTTTAGTCTATTTGTCAAATTTTCAAATCGAACGAGAAATAGAGAGTTTACATTTAATTCTAGCCGGGAGAGCAAAAGTTATTTCTGCGAGTTGGTCTCTCAATCTCGCGGTGAGGCCTCGTAGTTTCTGTTTTTAGCCAATAACGTGTCTTTGTCTCTTGATTTTTCTCTACCTCTTTCTCTCTTTTTTTTTTTTTTTTAAATACTTATATATACATACATTTATAGCAAGTGTAATAATTAAATATAATTCAATTAAAATTATAACGCATTTTCGATATATAGTATATAGATGTAATCACACAGTTCGTTGAATTATTATTGAAACTATATCAAATGGTTTCCATTGACTTATGAATGGACTTTCCTTCGAAATATTTTTTTTACTTTTTTTTTATCAAGTGACGACGAATAAACACACAACGATTACGTGTATCGAAAACGTTAAAAAAAGATACCTCATGCCAGATATGTGACTGATATTGTGCTAATATGCACGGTTCGAGGTCCACGGTAGTGTTGTGTAGACAACGAAACGATAAGATTGTCTCTTTGATTTGTCGAAGCTAAAACGGGAGAGAGGAGTACTGCTGTCATTGAGCAACATATTCATTCATATCGTTTAAAAACTATGTTACTCTTATAAACCGATTAATATCTAACTATCTTAAATACTATCTTATTTCGTTCATAAAATCTATCTCAATTTCGTGTTGTAAAAACAATGAAATCTATCGTGAAATAAAAATACTGAATGACTATCATAGATAATAAAAGAGAAAGAGAGAGAGAGAGAATATTTCGGTGAAAAGTAGTAGCTTGCCGATATGGAAATTAGATAGAAATCATCGATTTAAATCACCCCTTCTAATCGTACCTTTTATCTAAACTACCAGTTACAAGCACGCTACCGTCATCGATTGAGACATTGAACGTAATCTAAAGCGAAGTTAGTTGTATGAGAACCGTTAGTTAGTTAGTTAGTTAGTTAGTTAGTTAGTTAGTTAATTCATTCTTTCATTCGTTCGTTCGTTTGTAAG